AGTGGAGGTCCTGAGTTTGATTCCTAGTACCCTCCCCCAAAAAACTGTGTGAGCCAGTTGGGAGGGAGAGCCACGCTTCATGCTGTCAGCTAGGACTGAGATAAGAGGCTATGATTTCCCAGGGCATGAAAGATTACACATCAGAGCTGAAGCACCAAGGCCAAAACATTAGATACTACCTCGAATTGCAGATTACTCCTTCTGCATATCCTCTTTCTGCATAGAACAGAGGTAATTTCAGGCTTATCTAACCCAGTTCACAGCACTCACCTGCTTCCTGCCATTCTCACAATCACTCATCTTCAAACCACTCCTTTCTTCATGAATTAATAAAACCTGGGATTGGCCGTGGGTCAAGGCCTTTGCTCCAGTAAGCCATCATCCTAGCTGGACTTAGGACCCTTTGGCTCCCCATAACTATAAATATACCTTAGTGTCTTTGTTCTCACCATGGGTTGCACTGGAAGTGGTAGATTGGAATGAACTGGCTAGAATTCCGATAACTTTTCCATGGGATTATAAATATAAACTTGGACCAAGACAAGGACTGGGGAGAGCTCTCTATAAATGAGCATGTGATTGAGGGCCTATGCAGGGCCAAGTTCAAGTTCTCTGGCTACCAGAAGATCCACATCTCCGAGAAGTGGGGTTGCACCAAGTCCAATGCAGATGAATTTGAAGACATGGTGGCCAGGAAGTGCCTTATTTCTGATGAATGCAGAGTGAAATACATCCCGAATTTCCGTTTCCTGGACAGGTGGCTGGCCTTGCACTCTTGAAGGCTTCCACCGTGCCACAACCCCTTAACAAGTTCATCAATTAGTCTTATCTCTGCCCCCTAAATGAAATGATTGAAATCATACAATGTATGTTTTGTAAATACTGTGAATTAAGTTAGATATTAATAACAAATTATACACGAAAATTCCAAATGTTTGAAAATTAAGTAACATTTTAAAATAATCTGTGACAAAAGTCTGTGAGTCAAAGAAATTACAAGACATATTTTAATATTAATATATTTTAATAAATATTATTTAATATTTTATTTATATTTTATAGATTTTTATCAGTACATTTTCAGACCATGATCACATTTATCATGGAGAGTTGGTATGTGTACAAAAACATCTTGTTTTTCCATTCACTTCCCTTCCCCTCCCTCAACCTTTCCTCCATCTTTTAAAAAAATTAAATAATAATGAAAGTTCAACACATCAAAATCTGTGAGATGCTGTGAAATCTGTGCTGAGAGGGAAATTTATAGCTCTTAAAGCCTATGTAAGATGAAAAAAAAAGCTCTAAAGTCAATGACCTAAAGTGCTACCTTAAGAAGCTATGAAAATAGCACAAGAAATCCAAAGTCAGTAAAAGAAACATAAAAACGAAGGGCTGGAGTGCTCAGTGCTAGTGCCCTTGCCTATCCTGCAAGAGGCCTTGGGTTCTATCCTCAGCACTGTGGAGACAAAAGGAGCAAAAAATAAAAGAAATAGAAAAGAAGATGAATAAAGTAGAAAATTAACCACTCACCAGTCCAATTATTTAAATACAGGATGACCAAAAATTACAAATTTTTTCAATAATTTTTATAAAATAATATAACATGAAATATAAAAATCAGTTTTATCAAATTTATTTAATACAAAAATTAACTGGTTGATAGCTGGGCACAGTGGCACACACCTGTAATCTCAGCACTCAGGAGACTGAAGCAGGAGTATTGCTGTGAATTCGTGGCCAGCCTGAGTACATAGGGAGACCCTGTCCCAAAAAACAAAAGCATAAACAAACAAACAAAAGAATCAACTGGCTGAAATGACACCTGTCCAAGCAACACTCAGGATAGTCAGTAAACAAACCCCAACTGATGCTAAGGGTAAACTTAAGTGGTTAACAAAGCCAAAAGCTGATTCTTTGAAATCAACAAAATCAAATAACGTCTAACTAGACAGGGCAAGAAAAATAAGAGAGGCTGTACCTATTACCAACATCAGGAATGAGAAAAGAGTTACCACCACAGATCCTACAGACATTTAAAGGCTAAAAGGTGCACATGTTGAACAAGTTTGCCAACAAATTCTGTGACTTAGATTAACTGGGCAAATTCCTTGAAAAATACTTAGTTACAAAACTGATACAACATGGAGCAAAAAATCTGAATTGTCCTATATAAGCCATCCAATTCATAATAAAATTGATAGTGAAACTCTTTGCACCAAGAAAACTCCTGGGCACAAGATTTCACTGGTGAATTCTACCAAACACTGAAGAAAAACTAACACTGCTGTTACACAAATTTTTTCAGAAATTAAAGGAGGGGAAATTTTCAAACTCATTTTATAAGGCCAGCACAACTCTAAAACCAAATCTGACAAAAATAGAGAAAGGCAATAACATTTTGAAGAATAAAGAAATACATTATAAAGAATAAAGAAATGCATCCTTCCTTGTGCAGATATACTTCTAGCAGAGTTAATTTTTTGTTTTGTTTCTTTTTTTTGAGACAGGGTTTCACTATGTAGTGTAGGCTGGCCTCAACTCACATCAGTCCTCCCAAGGATTACAGGTGTGTGCCACCATGCCCAGCCTAGCAAAATTAAATACATATAAAATATTTGTTGCTGATTTATCAGAATAGAGGAAGCAATAACTTCAAAATTTAGATTTTGTTATCCACCACAAAAGAATGGTCTATTCTTGTAGAAATTAGCTTCAACATGGAATTGATTTCCTGTCTCATTAATTTCAGATAGTCTGTAAACACAAATCAGTGGTTCAAAAATGCAAATAGACTGTACAGATTTATCTGGGAAGAAAGGTCAATAAAGTACAGACTATTTTGGAACATTGTGCTCATCAAAAAAGCAGGCTGGGGAGAGGGTGTGGATGGCTGATATGAAGAAACTGGAGTACAGGATTCCTCTGATCCTATCACAGCTGTCACACAGTGGGCCACGCAGCTCACAGCTGTCCCTCTAATGTTTGATTTTATATATTTCAGGAACTCTGCTCCCTTTGTCCAGCATCGAGGACAAATTGCCCTCATGATTAGTGAAAAAAGATCTTGAATATGTAAGATACACTGAAATTTCCTGATAAGAATGCAAATTTTGTATGACTGAAAAGACCAGGAGGTTGCCTCTTTACATTTTACTGTCAAAACTCTAAGTACAATATTTTATCTCTGCAGATTACAGTACTTTCATTATGAAATTTGAGACCTCTGCTTAACCTCAAAATTGTATCTGTATTTTCATCTTTTTCTTCTTTCTTCTGCCTCATCTCTTCTGTTAAGAAATGGTCATATGGCTCTACTGTACTGCAGGGGGCATGTGGAGGGCAGATGGAAAGTTTATCTCCCTGCCCCTCTCCCAACCATAGAACGTCTGTTTCTCATATTTTAAAATCACCAAAATTAACTTCAGTTAAATACCACTAAAATTTACTTTTTGGCAGATGAGTCTGCAGTTTATGTGGTACATTCACTGTTTTGCAAAATTTGGATATATAAAGTGATGTTCAAGAATCCAAACCCCAGTGATAAAAATCCTCAATGCAAAAACATGAAGTTTTCATTAATTAAAACTCATTATTTTTACGCTTATCTATATTTTTCTAATTCTACAAAGAACATGTGTTACTTCTACAATTCAAAGGGGAAAATAACTACAAAGAACCATCAATGGAAAAGGAAAAGAGAACTTCAAGGTGTTCGGAAAGAGGGGTCTCTTATTCTCCAGGCTTCTACCATTTGGCATTTGGCTCTCAAAGTCCCTTGCCAATTTATGAGTTAAGCCCTATATGTCAGTCTGAAATTATATCAGAGAGCTACCTATAAAGCATTGTGAGTTAGAAAGCTCCAGACTTGCATATATTCTTTAAAAGAACACAAGTTCACTTCTTTTAAGAAAACAAACAAGCGAGCAAAGGCATTTGGTTCAGGGTAACTGCAGAACTTGACCCCACACTCTACCCTAACCTACAACCAAGTCGTTAACTCTGGCCTTAAATGGGTCTCCTATCATCCCACCTCAGAGGGCCGGTTGTGTAGATCACGAGACACTCTGAAATGGGCAAGATTGGTGTACATTATGAGCTGAACGTAGCTGAGCGAGCTGGGGCTGTCAGAAACCAGTTTGAGTAGTAAGTTTCCCACAAAGGGACATTTAGGATATCTGCTTCTCCAGAGCAGGAATGCCTAACTCTGGTTGCCCATAGACTCGCCACTCTCCTGAACCCTAAAATACCAGGATTCAGTTATATTATCTTGGTCAAGTCATTCCATTTGTGTTAGCTGCTTTACCTGGAAAATATCTTAATAAAACTTTCCCTGTCTACCTCAAGAGATGCTACAAAGGTCAAACAAATTAACAGCTTTTTAAAATAAGTACCATGAAAATGTCAGCTATGTTCAAGTCCTTCATGCTCCTTGTATCTAAAGGCTTCTTTTCACGATAAAGACAGGCACTGCTGACATACATGCAATGACTAGGAAATTGAATGAAGTTGCCTGGCACCTATAGGGACTGAGCTATGTATCTCTGAACTCATTAGGGCTTCCTTGTGCAACTGTCACAGTGACCATGGTGAAGGCACGTAAGTCTCTGGATCTGTTTTTCAACTCTAAAACTGGGTAACACATAAACTATTACTGCACTTATTAGTGAGAATTAAATGAACACTAGAAAATTTCTTAAATAGGGAAAATACTTTTTTTTTTTTTTTGGTCTTTTTGAGACAGGGTCTCACTATGCAGTTCAGGCTGGCCTTGAGCTCACTTTGTAGCCCAGGCTGGCCTCGAGCTCACAGCGATCCTCCTGCCTCAGCCTTCTGGGTGCTTAAAAGGCACTTCTTTTAGAATTGTATGTTTGTATGATGAACATACAGCACATTAACTTTTTTTCTGGTACTGGGAATCGAACTCATGACCTCATGCTTGCCAGGGAGGCACTGTGCCGCCAAGCTGTATCCCCGGCCCCGAAAATACTTTCAATAAATGGTGGATTTAATACTTTTTTAATATCTTCTCCAACTTTTGAAATGCTGCCAGGCGGTCACCATTACCTCTGCCTGGATGGAGGAGTTAAGTGACAATTCACTAGTGACAGCACCAGGACTTCTGACTCCAGTCCCTCGGTCCCCACCACTCTACTCCCCATCAACTTTGTAGACTTTTACAGAATGGGATGCAGCGTCCAGCACAAGAAGCAAATTCTCCTTGGTGAAGGCCAGTGCCACAGGGTGGGTGAGCCCCTGGGTGACCAAAGGCTTCAGCACGGGGAACTCCTCGGGTTTTCCCAAGCAGAGCACAGCCGGGCCCGACAAATCGGCCACAATCACGTTCCCCTGCTGATCAAAGGTCACAGCCGACACAGTTATCCTGCCCGGAAAGAAGAGGCTCAGCCCAAAGGTATCCACCTGGCCGATGAGCTGCATACTCGGGCTGAACACCTTGACCCTGGTGCTGCCGGGCCCGGTCCCCGGGGATGCGGGCTGCTCCAGGACGGCGATGGCCCCGCTGAGCGAGGACACGGCCACGCCCCGGGGGCGGCACAGGTGCGCATGCAGCCTCTCGCTCCTGCGCAGGACCCCTTCGGGGAGGTTGGCTTCCAGGAGGTGCAGGGAGCCGGCCTCGGCGTCGGTGACCAGGATCCCGTTCTGAGGCGTGGCCTCCACGCCCCACGGGAGCGCGAACCGGCCGCCTCCCAGGACGAGCCTGACCTGGCCGGAAAAATCAAACACTTTCACGGCGCGGTCGCCGGCGTCGGTGACAACCACGTGGCAGTCGGCGGTGACGGCCACGTCCAGCGGGTAGCG